CTGTCAAACTAAGGTTTGGGAACTAAGGCACAACAGCTAAGGTCCCAGTGTGCTGAGGCCCACCCCATGTTGGCGCTGCTGCGCTTTTTTTCTTGCTGACTCCAGCTCTTGCCACGGCTCTTTAGCCGATTCGCCCTTCGGGGCCATCTTTGTTGCGGCGCTGGTTTGGCGGTGGCGCAATGGAAAGCTATATAACACTTCACAAACCACGTCACCAAAACGACGTTTAAAGCCCTTGAATCTACATTCGACAGTGCCATCTTTCACTATGAAGACAAACAAGTCTCTTCTTTGCGCATCTTCTGTCCCTGTCTCTATTTTCAAGCCATTGAGACAACCTTTATGGACACCTCGGTCTTTGAGACCATCCCTCGGCAGCCTCAAGACCTTGTGACGGACCTCGTTTCCACCCTTCAACGAGGTCATAGCAGGTCTTATCCATAGGCCATCGGAAAGGGTCGTCAACCCCCTTCTGGCTACATCTTGGCAAAGAAGAAGAAGAAGGCCTACCAAAGTGGACGACCTATCATTTCCTTTGTCGACTCTCCATTCCGACCGATGCTCAACATCCTCGCAAGGATGATCTTTCAATTGATTCCGGTCGCCTGTCCTAATCACTTTGCTACTGGAAATGTCCACACGCTACTCAAGATCCTACGTGAAGCTCCCGAGCATGGTGACCTCACCCTGTTCAACCAGGATCTAGCGGGTTTCTTCACCAGCATTCCCGATTTCTGGGAGCGTGGTATATGCTTCTCGACTTCCTTCGTCCCCATATGGATGTTGGTGACAACAAAGTCTTTTCGGTCTACCCGGGAAAATCCAACAACCCTGGAGACCTCATCAAAGGCCGTACGTTCGGGAAGTTCAACGTCACCAGAAAGATCGTGATCAGAATGTACCTTCTCTTATAAAAACAGCACTGGACATGCAGACTTTTGCCTTGGGACAACGCTGCGTTCGTCAACGTCGCGTGGAAGCCCGATGGGCAGCCCATCGCCTGCCCTGTGCCTTATGGTTGTGTCCCTCAGCGAGCAAATTTTGTCCATCAACTTCAAGGAGACGCTGACCAATCACAGCCTGTTCATCCCTCACATCCGGTATGTTGACAACCGGCTGATTTTTGGTGACAAACGACTTCAGCATTTGTCTCCTTATGAAGTCCTCTTGGATGCTCGAACTGATCCACTGTGGACCCACCAACATATCTCAAGTCCTGTCTCCATTCTCTGCGTCCCCACCAAAAGTGCTACTCAGTGGCTTTCGCTCCCTTTGCCACATCGTGGTAAAAGGAGCATTTCCTTTGCATCAAGTACATCAGGGACTTGAACAACTAATTCATTTGTACGCTTTGGCAAGTTTCTCCCGAGGAGAACTCAACTGCATTTATTCTTAAAATTTGACCCATCAAGGTTAGAAATCTGCTCACCGCTGTTTGTCGTGATGGATGGCCCCTGGAAGATGAACCAGCGCCAAATTCACTACCATTTGGCCAGGGCAATCATGCATTTAAACTATATCGCAGGCTCCTTGCCATATTTTTTGAGCTTTCCATCGATTGGGAAGATTCTGAACCTCCGCCTCATCACCAAACTATGCCGCCACCACCGCCCCATCACACCCATAGCCGCCATCTTCATACTTTTGTACCCATGCCGCGCATGCCATCCTCATCGTTTGCCTCGATGATATCTCACGGTGGCCTACCCACCCACATGTGTTGAATCCCAGGTGTAGGTCATGCAAGCACACCTGCCATTCTTGTGAATCCACGCTCAAAACGCCATGACTTTCTAATCGGTCCTCTTCATCCGCGGTACCAACTCTGAACCAACCGACCTCAACTCCAGCAGTGCCAAATCCGGAAGCCCGACCTAAGAAAAGACAGAGGGTACGCCTCGACCCAGATCGCGCCTAGATTCTGCAGAAGAAGATGATGATTCCACCACAGACCATGGTCTTCCTATTCACCGATCTTCACCCTCGGCACCTGCTCCGGCTCCTGTTCCTGTTGACCCTGTTGGCCCTCATCGTGAACCTGATCATGAGCCACCAGTGCCAAACCCAGTAATCAACATGGGCAACCGACCTTGGCCAGAGGCAGATGACAATGAACTCATCGGTTGCAAGCTTGACGCCCGTTCTCGTCCTTCATGGGAGACGATTGGTCAAAGTCAACGCATGCGTCGTTCAGCCGACTCTTGCAAGGCTCGCTGGCAATGGTTGAAGAATACCCGACCTGATCTGTTGACTCGTGCCGACAATGAGGCCGCAGATTTGACTTTCGTACACATCGGGAAAAGTTTTCTGCTGCTTCTCTGGCTTGCTTCCTCAGGTTTCCTTCTTTTGCTGCCTCGGCTCCTTTCTGAATTTGTGCAATTTCCAGTTTGTTGGCTCTTAGTGCATTGCCCTCACGTTGTATTACCTCCCTCCATAGGCTATGGCTCGCTCCCGATCTCGTCCCCGAAGTGCCCTCCACACTTCTGCCCATGATGACTTCTTCGGCATCCAGTTCTGGATACTACACCTACGATTCGACGTCTCCGACGCGTTTTGGTCATCATTGACTTCAGCGAAGTGCGTCATGTTGCGGAAGAACTTTGCCACTCGGACTCTCTACAGAAGACTTGTTGCAATCTTCTCCCGGTACTGACTGGAACGGAGGAAACAGCTCTCTTTACATTTTCTAGGCTACTCCCTGCGTCCAAGCTTCTTCGTGTGACGCCAGGAGACCTTATCTCTAATGTCAGTGGATAAATCTCAGTAACCTGGGATTTTCAGATTGACCCCCGACGAGCTGGATCTTGATGGCATGATAGCTCGGGTGACATTTTCGTCCTCAGCAACACCAAGATCTGTCGCCTGCATAGTATCCATCAACCTCAATGGTGCTGACAACAGGACACGGGCTCTTTATTCCTTCCCAGACTTTTCACAGATTTCAGCCAGCCGTACATCATGCGTCTCTCTTTCCACAGAGCCCTTCCTGCTGGATACTTACCATAGATTGCCCGACAGGCTCAAAATATCGCTTACTCATATGTCAACTGTTGTCGTTTTTGCTTTTTCTTGTCGCCCTGCTTTCTTCCGATTGTCTTACCATCGTTTTTTGCTCTGCTCAGTATGACAAAACGTGACTTCATCACCGCCAGCTTACCTTCCACGCAGGATCTTCGTATGGCTTCGGAGCACGAGACGGATGTGCCTATGACTTTGATTACGGGCTTGCATCGCACTGAGACAGCGTCCGGATATATTAGTCAGCCGGTACCAATTCGCATAATTACCGCTTTCATCCAGCTCTTCTGCAGCACCAAATTTCCAGACACATGCCCCTCTTCAACCAACTCAGTGGCGCCAAAGAATTGTGAGTACGGCAATGTGCCTGCAGAATTGGTGGAAGAAGTTGACTCTTCAGGTCATTCTTGTGTAAGGTCCTTGGAATATATTTCTTTAATGGAATCGTTGGTCACGTCCGGGACCGACATGGAAATCAAGTGGATGGCTGGCACCAAGCCGCCCAGTTGGCCAACTATTGGCGCCGTCATTTTGGCGTACCTGAAGATTCCCATCCACGGATGTGAATCTTCCCTTGCCCACTCAGTCACAACCTCCAGTCCCAATTACCTAGCTCGCCTGGCTACTACACAGCATTCTGTGCCAGGATCCTCACCGGTTTCGCCAGGGCGCCAGACCTGCCACCTTTGAGTTCTGATTTTCTGAGCCATGACGGCCTCGCCGGCCACCTGGCGATCTTGGCGAACGTACTTGCCCAACATCGTGCTGCGTCTTCTGTGATTCCTGATGATAACAGCACGTAGATCACATTTTTCCTCTATGGAGGCAACCATCATTTGGGATTGGCTGGCATTTTTGATCGGTTTGATCCGTGTCCGGCTTTGCATCTTCCAAACAAGGCCCGCGGCAGCGGGGCGTGTGTGTGAACCATGTGAAGAAATGTAAAACTTCTAACCTGATGGAAATTCGGTTTCCTGTTCCAACTTTCTGTCTTATCATTAAATTTCAAATGCAGGAGGCTGCGGGGAGTGTCATTGTTCTGCAGCCAACGAAGACGGCTATGACATTCTGTGATATCGATCTCGGACGCTGGATCGACGTACCTGGTATCCAAATCTTTGTCTAATGTGGCTTACGTCATAGCAATAAGGCTTGGCCAAGTTAATCAGGGCTTCGGGGCACAACCGGGGCTACGAGTGCGGGCCAGGTACTGCAACCACAACATTGCATCATTGAAGATTATCTCCAGCCTGCACATAGTGTAAATAATAGTAAGCCGCGCTGTAAACTGATGAGCATGGGTTATTTTCTTTGTTGCTCGTCGTTGGGCTTTGCTTAATGCGGGTGTGGCCGTTCAATGCGAGTGACTGAGAAGCTTCTCCTCCCTCCTCGCCCTTGGCATAGTTCAAGCCACTCACATGGGGGCAGCCTCTTTGGCACATAGTTAGTTTCAATGTGAGACAATCATGCAGCGGTTAAACTGTCGGGCTCGAGAGGAAAAGGATAAAACACACATGGATATGTCTCAAAATGAGGTGTCCGTTTTTGGTTCCGAAATGGTTCCTTTAAGGGAAAAATCGGACACCTCATTTTGAGACATTCCCATATATAAATATAAGTAATATACAGATACATCCACACATACACATGCATATGCATAAACATATGCATGTATAGATACATGTATTTTATATATAGTCAACATATTATATGTTAGTGTCTATTCTTATACGTTTATTTTTGAAGTGCCAACATTTGAATGTGAAAATTGCGTTTTCCGGGTACCATGCGGTCAAGCGCTGCCAGAAATCAAATCGTGCAAGTGCAGTTTCTAGCCAGTAAATTTTTTAAGTTGGGACTATTTTTTTGTTTGAAATTTGTGACTTTTAAGTTGGGACTATTTTTTGTTTGAAATTGTGACTCTTGCTCACATCGGGCGGTCTTGCAGCAACTCAGTGGCTGAAACTTTTTAGAATAAGAACATGTCGGATTCGTTGGCGGAAGCGATGGTTGCGGACCCAGCGATTCCTGCGGAATCCATTGAGTGTTTCAAAGAGTTGGCCAGGTGGGCCTTGGAAACTTTGAGGGCAGATGAGCACCTTTTGTGCCGAGCTGCGTGGGAAGTTGCAGCTGTTGCCTGTGCTTTAGCCAGTTTGAGCAAGCAGACGGGACGCCCAGTTGCCAGCTTCGATGAATTGACCCTTGGTGAGGTTGCGCCGATGGCTGGGCAAGGCGCAGGTGATATCCTTGCCTTTGCTGGCACAGAGGTTGGTGCAGTGAAAGAACGAGAAATGAAATTGGTGTTTGGAATGCTCTTGAGCCATCTCATTGGCCCGGACAAGGAGAACTACAAGGATCACCAGCTTTGGCTGAGCAGGCTGAAGGATGACTTAGAGATGCTTTTCGTTGACCTGACAGGTCGCGCACTTATTTCCACGGTTCAGACTGAACTGAGTTTGAACTAAATGCACCTAAAGATAGGCAGGTTCACACCTGACATGGCTGCAATTTTGGAATGTTCAGCCACTCCTTTTTTAGACCCTGACGGCTATTGATGGCAGTCCCATCTTCGGCTCACGTTTAAAAAATATGTCACGTTCACCCCAACAGCATGTTTTTTCAATGCATGATGTGTGTAGGTGTAGGTGGGTCTTCCCACATTAGTCATTAGTCGTGCTGCAACTGTCAAGGTTTTTTTGACACAATTTCGCAATCAAATGTCAGCTGGATGAATTTCATACTCATTGAAGCTTACTCCATGAGGTGCCTTTCAGTTTCCCGACGCTGATCAAGAGACCCGCCCTAAACTTCATTGAATGCATGGCCTGTGAGCAACAGCTGCTTTACCATAATTCTGGTCGGTTTTGAATGTAGATGTTGTTTTTTTGGTAAAGAGTAGACTGGTACTGTAGCAGGTAGCCATGTCGGCAGTTGCTAGCTGTGGGATTGCTTTGCGCTGCGCCCCCTCGATTCTTCAGAAGCAGCCTGCAGATTTCAATGGTGGCTACTGGCATTGGCAGACCGAGAGATTTCCAGATGGATGTGTGTCAATGATTGATGGATCTACGCAGCCGCATGCCAGCAAAGTTCCCAAACCTTCTGCAGACCAGATGAGTTTCAATGATGGTTGTGCTTTCAGCCTTTGTCGAATCACTTCTGATTCCTCGACTTCGTGGTGTGACACGGGCTTGGGAGCAACTGATGGCCATCACCATCTTCTTTTTCCCCAGGGGTCTGGCGCTAGTTCCTCACAGACCAAGGCTGAGAATCATGAATTGACTAGTGGCACCGCCCCAAAAATGTCTCAACGAGCTAAGCATCGAAGAGATAAGGGCTACAATAGGCATCGAGGCGGTAAAAACCAGGAGTATTACTCGTACTGGTACCGCAAAAAAGCTCGGCAATGCCATAAGTAGCATGGCGCACAATCGAGAGATTCCATGTGGAGCAAAGGCTGTTTCCAAGACATGTTTGTAGCTGCTGTCATTGAGTGCCTGGTGACCATGATCAGATACTGTTTCTTTCGAAATAAAGTATCTCTAGCGTTGGACGCAGGGGTAAAAACCTTCAAAGGTTGAAAATTCATCGGAATAGTTTGAACTTAGTCGTCAGTTGATTCTTGATTGCAGCGGCAGCGGTTTTGTGACGCTTCTATTCAGTATCAGTTCAAACGCAATTTGCCGCTCCGACTTGCATCTCATCCTTTGCTTTGCTTGGAATCATTCAATGACGATCCAGATGCAACGACGTTTTTTTGATTCAAAGCCCGAGCAGCCTTTGAATGTCATGGAAGCATGGTGCAAGGCAGGGCCTGAGCGAGCACGGATGGCCGCACCAACAGGGACACAGAGATCTTTGTGACGCTGGGCCAGATGAGTGCTTACAAGTTCAAGAAGGTTGGCAATGTGAGCTCTGGTGGTGGCCGCAGAGGCGTGCTGATGCAGAGTTGCTTGTCTTCTTAAATTTCTGATGTGAATTATCGCGAGCAGTCACTTTTTAAATGGCATCTTTCCACGAAAGGTGTAAATTTTGTGAGAAGAGTGGTTGTAAGAAATTGACAGTAGTTTAATTTGATTATGCTGTGAGAATACTACAATTGCAAAGGAACTTGTGATAATTGCATCACAAAAGCAACTGCAGCTGCAGGCAAGAACAAGGGCTTCTTCTTGGTGGCGCAGCCCGTTCTCGATCCAGTCTTGCATCTCAAGGTCAAGGCCGTTTCAAACAATGGCAAGAAGATGGTGAAGGCTTTCCTCTCCAGAGTTGGCAAGAGTGCGTGTCGCATAGTGGCTGAAGCCACTTTCAGCCCAGGGCATTCCGTTGCCAGTGCTGTGAAGGATTTGCGCTCCCAGATCACCAAGCGCTACACCAACGAACCCGGGATTGAATATTTTATGTGTCTTCTCATGTGTACTCATTGAAGACCTTGCAGCTGATGATGATGCTGATGACAGTAGCTGATGTCTGTGATGATGAAACTTGCAGGCTGGTGCTTGGACGTAGCTGTCGATGTGGGGTTGACCAAGTTGAGAATTGTAACTCCTTCATTCATATCAAGTAACAAGCGAAAGAAGAAAACAATTCTTGTTTATGTTAATTAAATGTCCTTTGCTGAAGATCTTACAGCATGTTACAGCCATAGGGGTAACATGACCTATTCTAGATTTCTTGGCGTTTGGCCGAGGTCGAGATGGATTGTATGAAGATCTACTATTCAGGACGCGAGATCAGGAAGCCGCATGTCACCTTTTCCTTTGCACAGCTCAAGGGACTGAGCATTGGTGAGATTAAGTCGGCTTTGACCCATGGCAAGAAATTTACTTAGCTTGTCCAGTCACTGAGCAGCCTGGATTTTTTTGAGATGCAGATCTTGTTTTTGACGATGAAGCTTCATCACAGACCGGCAAGAGAAATCCAATGCTTGGCGGCCACCTGCATGAAATTCTTTCAACTTGGTAGCAATTTTGTGTTGGGATTACAGTCCCAGCAACATCCTTTCTTGGAGAGTTTTTGGTTGTTACTGGTATCCTCTGCTTTGAACAGACCTTGATCATTTCTCTGAATATTTTAGCGTTAGGAAGGAAGCAGTGGGATCCATTTTGTCAACTTTCGCACCGCCACAAAGTAGCCATTGCTTTCTCAGTATAGGGTGGTGTTTTTTCAAGCCCGAGTGGGTCAGAGGTGAGTGTTTTGATGAAATGTCATCCAATTCTTGACTTAAGATGTTTCGGTTTTATATGAAAGTTGGCATGTTCAGTCATTACTAATCAATCTTGTTTTCTAAGCAGGAGGCTTGCGCCATTCAAATCTTGAAAGGAATTCCAACGGTCTCATGGATTCATGAGTATCCAGGAAGAACATCAGTTTTTTTGAAATGATTGCGTGCGTTCTTGCATGGCTCCTTTGCTGCTGTTTGGTGCAGTGCCGAATTGCTGCTGGAATGCCATTTTCGCCTGTGGACACATTGTCAGATGAGGATCTCCCCCGTGGTGGGCAAGTGGAGCCTGCCGTGGATCCACGGCAGCATGGTGGACAGCTTGTGGCTGCTGAAATCATGCCACAGCTGTCGAAGAAGCGTGAGGCTTCAAAACAGTTTGGCCCAGGGGACCTGATTCGTCTACAACATGGACTCCGCCGGGCAGTGCAGTCCAATTGCGCTTGCAAGATGTCGAGTTGTCGCAAAGCTTTTCGAGATCCTGCACGGTTTGAGGAGTTGGTGAAATACCGTCTTCGACTACGAGAAATGCACAAGATGGACATTGACAAAGAGGTGTCTTAGTTGTTTTAATTTGTTTTCTGCTCCAAGCATTGGGAAATATTGGGAAACTTCGGTCTGCTGATTTTCCATTTGGTTTGCACCAGAAACAATTGACCTCTTCAACTGTCAAGTGCCTAAACCCAAGGAAAACGCAGCTTTTTGGGGATTTGGAGGGGTCAGATTTCTACACTTTAGAGACCCCGGGCTTTGTTGCTGTTAAGGACTTTTCATACAAAGAATCAACGCATCGATGATTCGATGATATGTGAAAAAGTAACAGTGCTTTGAAGATGATGGATACGGAGGCCCCTCAATTGTCGTCGGATATATGTATGTTGCAATAATTAAAACCTCCACACCCAGGCTTGGTGTGGAGGTTCTTTTCGGGAGGTTTATCTACGATACGAGATTACCTGCAGAAGAGTGAACCCAGGAACATCTTGATAAAGAAAAAACTCTTTATATGACATTCTGACATTCCATGTGTTGCTCCCTGGGGCAGGTATTCGCTATGTTGAAGCAGCAGCGCTTCAACGAGAGATGCGGCGTCACTTTATTGGGGGAGGCTATGTGCCACAGAGCCTTTAGGCTTTTGGTTGGCATTTCTAAATCTCGATTGCAACGCTTGCGGAAAGCCATTTTGGAAGGGGCTGAATGCTGTCCACACGATCGCCGCTATGTCCCCAGGAAGGGATTGTGGCTGCACAAGAACAAGGCCAGAGCGGCAGTAGCAGAGTTTCTGATGCAGTGCTACCATGTTCAGGCTGAACCAATGCCTGAAGCTGTCAAAGAATCGGAGATGAAAGTGGGTCTCAAGCCGGTGAAGCGGAGGGGCAAACGCCCGCGAAGTGCTTTCAAAAAAGATTCAACAGAACATGGCTACCCTGACACGGTAAAGTTTCTGCCGCCGGGCACTTTGGGTGATTACCATGAGCAATGCCAGCACGAGAATCCCAACATCAAAATTTCCCGGAAGACCTTTTGTCGTGCATCTTGGCCGTTCATTCATGGCGCTGAGGAATCCTTTTTAAAGTGGTTTGAACTTGGCGTTTTTTTAGTGAAATCTTGGTCCAGCTGCAGGTATGGGAAGAGAGTTTCAGAGACATGTTGGTGATCCGTGCGAAGACCCAACATAGTAAGTGCAATCAATGCGTGAGATATAAGTTGCTGATAGCCAAGCTCCATGACAACCCAATGGCCAAGAAGGAGCAGCTGGAAAGATTTCGAGTACACCTTGCTCGGCAATACGAGGACCGCGTTGCCTACTGGAACCTTCGCGGCCTCAGCAGATTGCGGCAGCTATCTGATAGTCGGCAAGTTGTTTGCGTGGCAATTGACACAGTTGACCACTCCAAGTTCGTGTTGCCGAAATCTTTGGCAATGCAGGCGAAAGATTTCAGTCAATTCCTGAAGCCTTCTTTGACAGTGACAGCCGCTTTGATACATGGGGTGGCTTGCATCATCCACATTGCTGAGCCACACATTTGCAAAGATTCTTCCTACACCACGGAGATTGTAGCCCACACGTGCAAGATCATTTCAGAGACTGAGGGGATCTACATGCCACAGGTTTGCGTACATTTTTGTGGAGACAATTCGTCTCGAGAGCTCAAAAACAATTCTGTGTGCCGCCTTCTTAGTGGACTTGTTTCCGCTGGCCGAGTGAGGGTGGCCACTCTCCAAACATTGGAGAGTGGCCACTCTCATGAGGATATCGATCAGATGTTCTCATCCCTTGCAGCTTGGGTAATGGGCCAGAACGAGTTGCACACCACCAGTGACTTTGACAGTTCAATTTCTCAGTGGTTGGCACTTCCCACGACCCGGCCAACAGAGCCAAGAAAGCTGGTGAACCGCATCCACCAGGTGCGAGACTGGACCATCGGTTTGAAGAAGTATATATATATATTTTTTTAAAAAACTCCCCTGCAATGAACTTTGCAATCTTCAAGAAGCAGTTTGTTGCAATCTTCAACTCTGCAATGTGCCGAAATGAGACCCATCAGGAAGAACCATTTGAATCTTCTGCAGAGAGACAACCAGCTGACTGGAATAGGTGGGCCAGGGGCTCCCCATCTCTTTGAGTTCAGTCGCATGCATGATGGAGGACAGGGGTGGTTTACAAGCATATGATTTTTGTTTGCCTTAATTTAGGGCGGTGCCAGCCCAGCTAAATCAAGCCGTTTGGGGCGATTGGTTTCAGGACATGACCGCTGCTCTGTCGATTCAACTTTCTGGGACCGTGCCGGGGAAGTGCAGTCTCCACATGATGTTGTCCTCCAGAAACTTGGCAGCCACGTTTTGCCCACTACCAATTTATGTTTTCGACTTCACAGCTACATGCTTTTTGAAACGCCTTTTTAAATACCTCTTGGCATTTTGAATGTAACAGAACTCAAGGATGAAGCAGTATTGCAGCGACGAAACTTACAAGAGCACCAAGATTTTGCACTTGCCGCACGCAGTGGTTCCGGATGCGTCTTTGCTGGTTCCTGACGGCACCTTGTCGTTTTTTCTGAGCAGATGTGACAGATATTCCCTTTTTGGAGCTCATTAGGTTGAGGGCATGTAGGGCTTAGAGCATGTTAGCATGCAAATTTTCTTCAGTCTAGGGTGGTACCTCTTGTTGGTGGTGAATCTGGAATTTATTTGACTTTAGGACTTAGACCATTGATCATTTGATTCCTTAGTTGGGGCTTTGGTGAGCTGATGCTGAAGGCTCAACCAGAAACCTGTTCGTCAGGGCCTCCCTTCTCTCAAAATTAATTGTGACTTTTGGTTAAGTAACATAACGGTGAAAATAGGGAACCCTTTGTTCTTTTGGTTGGTTTGAAATCTGCTATTTTTGCAAATGGTGTGTGTGTGTGTGGACCATCTGAAAAGATGTAAAACTTCTTTTGTGTGATGGCTGTTTTTCGGATTTGTAGGAAGCAGGGGGGCAGTGAATCTCATTCCATCCACTGCCCAACGAAGACGGTGGTTTGAGATTGTGATATCGGGACTGATCATCCCGACGTACCTGCAATTTCCATTTTATCGGCAATGGCAACCGGCTAAGCCAAGTACCGGCATGTCGAATTTTCCATTTGAGGATTCTCTACTGCACTGTTGTCGCAATCTGGAGTTATTTGGGTTATTTGGTTATTTACAACTGGTTCTGCTTCATCAGAACCTTCCTCAGAGCAAGGACGTAGAAATTTTACTTCACTATGAATTTCACGCTGGATCAACGAAACTTTCCTGGCAGTTTTTTAGGGATTGTCTTGTGCACGTGAGATGCATTCCACAACAAAATTCGCAATGTTGTTTCTGAGCAAGTGTGTCATTCCTGCTGTATACGTCAAGTTGGCAGGAACCCTTCGGGGAAAGCCTTTCCAGGCTAACAATTGACAGTAAAACGATGTCTGAATTTACACTTTTGAATTAGTAATTCGTTTAAGTAAAGTGAACTGCTGGCCTTTTTTCCCGGTCTCACACGTCGGTCGAGGGAGTGTTGAACAACTGGCCGCTGTACCGGGCCTCTTTCTTTTTCGCAGCCTTGCATAGTTGGCAGCCACGTTAACATCCGTTTTTCAACGTTGCTCGAGAGTTTGACAGACAAGTTGCATCATGACATGGCTCCATGTGGAGGTCTCAGGACATGCTTTAGGTGTGGTTCTTCTTTCTCTTGATGGTTTCTGGTGAGGTCCCAACTTGTGCACTTAATTCAGGGGTTGAACACGTTAGCCGTCCAGAGGGTTGTGACTTGAAAGCCGAGGGCCCTGAGCCTTATCACGAATACTGCATGAGTTGTGGATGCATCTAATGTTAGTGATTTAACCTTTGTAGTGATCGTCTGACAGTGCTGCCAGACCTGTCATCGTTGGCCATGTTTCCTAATCGTTGGCCAAACCTGTCCGAGAACATGTGGAACTTCGGCTGGTCAGCGCCTGCCTTTACTCCACCTCAAGCTGCAGCACAATTTGGTCAATTTTGTGGAGGTGATATGATGAACCAACAGTCTCAAGCTCAGTCACAAGCTCAGACTCAGACTCAGTTGGCTCAGTTAAGGGAACAAAATCAACTATTGCATCAACAATTGAATTCCCAAGCTCAGACCCATATTCAGCAACTTCAGCAGCTTCTCCCATTGCATCAGACTCCTCCGCCAACGGCACCTCATCAGACTCCTCCATCAGTACCTGATCCACCAATGGTACAGCCAGTCCAAACACCTCCTGCTCCGACTCCATCTCAACCCGTTCAACAAGGGTCCAACACCACCTTCAATCCAGAAGAGATGATTCAACAGGTGCGTCACACAGTGGAATCGGGAATGCAAGCGTTTATGGAACTAACCAAAGAAAGGTCCAAGAGTCCTCCTCCAGGTGTGCCACAACCTCCACCAGCGACTCCAGTCGCAGAGCCTCCACCTGTCGCCCCGTTACCACCACTTCCAAGGCTTCATCGCCGCTCCAGGTCACGGTCAAAACACATTCCAACTCATGTGGACAAACGTCCTATATCAATCCCAAGAAGTCCAAGACGTCACAGACGCGACAGCCGACCACGTCACCGTCGTCGACATTCCCGCTCACGGGACGACTCCAAACCTCCAAGCCGTCCTCAGTCAGTCACCCTTCGATCAAACTCCCCACGTCATCGTGAAGTACCACATCAGCGAGATGAACTTCGTCAACGTGATGATGATTATACTTATCCATCCACCACCTATCAAACTGAATCTTGGAACGATCACCACTACGAACACCCCTCAATCGTCGACAAGTCGGACTACCAAGACCACTCCACCTACCATGACTACAGCTCCACCAAAAAGCGGAAGTCCTGGCAGTCTTGGAAAGATCAGTCCAAGCCTCAATATTACACGCATCCTTCCGGCTGGGTTGATTACTCAAAGCCGTACCACAAACATCAATCTTATGATGTACCGCCTTCCAAATATCCTTCCAAACCTTTGACGGCATTCTCACTTGAACAGCACTCTCACCACCATGGCAAACATCCTAATCGCTCGGTGTCTGCTCAGTCTCGAGCCTCCACTCTTCCACCTGGTCATATTCCCATCAACCTTCAAGAAGGTTCCAAGGAGGACTGGGTTCGTCAAGTCAAATATGCTCTCACCCATCCCGATCGGATGAGAGCTGCAAACGAACTTGATGCCAAGGAGCTTCCACAACCATCCACCAGTATTATCCAAGAGCACTGCGAGGAAGCGATGGAAGAATTGGCCAAAGTTGATTCCAGAATCCCACCAGATATTGGCAGAAAGGCCATATATTTATTGTCGAGTACTGGCATCCTGACAGATTTGGATCTCTCCACATGTTATGTGCGAGAACTTCCCCAAACGGGCATGCTGGCCCTGGTCATACCCCTACCGGAAATCAGCCGGTTCTCAATGCCCCCACCTTTTGGCGGCCAAACTCTCATCACATGGGCACTTACCCATGGTACGACCATCACTACCTCACAGCTGATCCTCATGGAGGGCAAGATCCGACCAGCAAACTGGCCCTACCACAAGAACCCACAGCGTTGCGGCATGCCAAGCTTTGGAGCCTTTTATCTAGGCCGACAGATTGCGAATGCTGACAAGACCATCCCATCATGGGCAGAACTGGAACTGCTCGATTCTATGGAGAAGAAAGGAAAAGGCCAACAAGAGATCTCCATTGGGGCGATCTATAGAGGAGCAGTTGACCATCTTTCACTCCGTGCTGGAGGGAACGAGAAATGTCAGATCAATGTGATCAAAAAGGGAATCGTCAACACTCCTGAGAGGTACACGATTGCCCATAGCCATCACGTGGGGCTGAAATTCATCGCGATCAAATGGTCAGATCTCGGTGATGCCAACCTGCCCCAACGCCCTGTCGATCCGCGAGACACCGACTCTGAGGAGAATGTCAACTACCGAGACAACGAGGAACGGCATGCAGCCAAACATCGACGTTAAGCACTCAGAATAGTTCTCTCAGATCGTGTATCTGTAGCTTTTGTCCTAAACAGGATCGTTACATCCTTTCTAGGGATTCCCTGGACACACGCTTTGGTCAAAATAAACCAGTGTCTCTGCGGCCTACTCATTGTGTTTTCCTTGATTGGTTTCTTTCGCTCAGGTTTGTTTGGACTTGATCCACTGACAAACATCTTATGCAATTTACGATCCTTTTGCACTTGAGGCTTCTTTTTTGATTTGTCGGTTTTTTGCAATCACCGCAGCTCTTTTGATTCATCGGGGAAGGAAAATCTTGAGTTGATCACATCACCATGGCAGAGTCTGATCGATCCCGTTCACCTGCTCGAAATCGTGCGGCACCTGACCCTCCTCGTCCTCCTGTACGGCAAGATCTTCCTTTCTTTCCTCGATGGTGTGGTCCCATGCAATCAGCGATATGGCACTCTCAACAGTCCAGACCTCAGCTCCGACCTCAGCTTCAGCCTCAGTTCAATATTCACCAGCCGGGACCTTATATGATGACTACGCCAGATCCATCAGCGTCGATGACCACATGGCCATATCCAAGATTCCCATCCACAAATCCAAGATTTCCACCTGCACCTCCTTCGTCACCACCACCAACACTTGCCTATCCACGTCATTCCAGTTCAGTCACTCCACCATGCTCTCCTACGATTCCATGTGCTCCAACTCAACTGGCTTCGCCCAGCACTCCATCGATCCCGTCGTCACAACCTCGCCATTCTGGCACTCCATTCTCCAAGTCACCAGGGGCACAGTCAACCACTGATGAAAGTCGTACATATGGCTTCGATCTTAACCCTCACTGGCAAGAAGATCAAGACCATTACGACAATCAAAAGATCAACGGCTTGACTTTCCCTCGAAGTATTCGACCTTCAGCCTTTACACAAAAGCTGGATATCGAGGGATGCGACCCTTTGAAGCTACCGGTCGCGGCTTTACTATATCAGCAGGCCAACAACTTTTGGCTTCGGAAGCTGGCTCATGGGCGTGAATTGTACCTGATCCCGACGGGGGACATCGCGGCTGTGGTATTCATGACGGAACTATTGACTCAGCTTCGGAACAAAGGGGTGGACCTTGACAAGGTGTCATCCTGCAAAGCCAGACAGGATGGGAAGTTGCTGGACAAGACCAACAACAC